AAAAAAATTACAGTGATGTTTCTTTCTCTGCAGTTTTTTCACTTTCTATTGTTGAAACGACAGTAACTATTTCATTGTGGATACCTAAGTACAGGTTCTGTCCCAGTTTTCACAGAACTTTATGCTGCTTTCTTGTCTTCTTCAAATTCCTAGCTTTATACAACAAAACTCAGAGATAAAAAAAAAAAACAAACCTACTTTTTAAACAGCTGTCTTCAGCAAATCAAGCCATTTCCAAGGCGTGTGGAAATTAGAAAATGTTACTTGTTTATTTTCTTTGTGAGACAGAAGATACAAAGTAAAGCATCAGAAACTATGATCTTAATTGGACAAGTTTTAATACAACACAACAAAGCCTGTTTAGGTGATAAAAGGAAGTATGATTTCTGAAATACATTCATCTTCCAAATGGATGTTACATTACAAATAAGAGGATTATATACATAATTTCAGACTACATTAGCAATACTAATTAAACAGCCTTCTTTTAAAAATTAGTTATGCAAAGAACTTGAAAAATAGATTTGCTTTGTATATTAAAAAGTCTTCATGTTGAAGGTGAATGCAATCTCATTATTTCTTCTGAAATTTGTTAGTATTTTTATTGGCTAAAGACTTCAGTATAAAGGCTTTACTTCAGTATAAGTTTAAAACAAATAGTTTAAGCTTCTAAACACACAAAGAAGCAGCACTTTAATTCCTACTTTAATAATGTCATAACAATATCAAAGATACATGGATCAACAATACTTGCTCTATTTGCTAATTTCACTTTCCTAGTTCAATGCACTACCAAGCTATTAGTTTAATTTGATTCACTCCCTTGATTTTGTAGGTACAAGTGAACCCAACAACTGCAGCCTCAACTAACAGATGTAATGTAATGTAATGTAATGTAATGTAATGTAATGTAATGTAATGTAATGTAATGTAATGGCCAGTCTCTTCGCGAACGAAGAACCGGGGAAGGTCTTTCCACCTTCCAGCCTGCGCATTGGATTTTTTAGGTGAGACACAGTGTGCGCGGAACTGAGCCCACCCTTTAATCCTGAGGTTCATCTGCCGGGGCCAAGCGAGCTTGGATGGTGGCAGCGAGGTCCTCAGGACGTAGATGGATTGCCTTACAGGGCTAACGAGCTCCATCTGCCCGGGGAGTGGCCCCAACCAGGAATCG